TTTTTTTATGTGTAATTCTTTTAACTTTTCTATTCAAACCATGAGTATCTTACCCCCAATTGTTGGAGAGGAGTAACTAATTTTGAAAAATTACTATTATGTAGTTTATTTAGTATACTTTATTGATTCCTTTTATTGTCAAGCTAAATCAAAAACGATATGTGGTTTACCTTGTGAAAAAATAATGGAACAAAAAAATGGCTTTAAACTAGATATTATAGTCCACCACCACTTAGAGATATGAAGGGACTATGAAACTCATATTTCTTTTATTAAAATGGTTAAACTTAGATTTTAGTTAGACAAGAGACTGAATGGTTCGTCTAACTTGATAAAGATTTAATAGCTAAGAGACTAAGATTAAATAAACTCATGAATAATTAATAACATATAGTAATACTTTAACTAGCAAGGTCAAATATGAAATGTCATGCCCCAAATTTTACCCTTAGATTCTTTGATATTTTTCATATCATTCTAGGTCAATCATTCATGCATATCTAACCAATTTATCATCCTTTGTTTAATTTCACTTAAAAATCAAGCTTTGCTTCAAGAGGCTTCAAGGGTTGATCAATCAAGGTTTTGGATAAGTCTTCAACCAAGAAAGTCCTCGCGCTCCTAAGAGACCTCCCTTCCTCAATAATCCAGTACAATATGGCTTCACCACAAGTTCTTTGAGGATCAGGTCTTGCAAGACTGAATCAAGGATCAGACAAGGTTATCAAGTTAAAGGTATGTGCGATATGGTTTGAAATTCAGTGGAAGTTTGACCTAATATTGGTCAAACAAGTGATTTGTTTCAGTATCAGGTTATCATGCTGTGGAAAATATCACTATTTCAGGGTGGATGATCATCAGGGCTAATCCACTTTCAATTAGGGTTTTGGTGCAGTCGTCGCAGATCATATCTCAGGTCATCTGTATCATTTACTATTTTGAGGACATGTGGGGATTGAATTCACGTATTTGTGTTTGAGGATCCAGATCAGGGTCTTGTGTAAGTTCAGGTTATCTGATGAAATCAAGTTGTAGAGTATCTAAGTTCAGTGCGTTTTGTCCTCATATTTCAAGCTGTTACAAGTCCTCTTCAATTCTCAATTTCAAACTCATACCCATTCATATCAATTACTATTATCCAATTTCATTCCATATTCAATCTAATTCATCCATATTTTCCATAAATCCATATCCATAAAAATCCACTTCATTTTTTAATATCCATAATTATCCATTTTTCGTTTTAAATTCACCAAACGTTTTATCATTTCAATTATCCATATTATCCATTTTAATTATCCAATCCTTTTTTAGTTGTCCAAATAAAATCCATTTTTAAATTCCAAATCACATTCCATAAAGCTCATTTTCTATTTTATCCATTTATCCATTTCATTATTATTATTATCCATTTTTTTTATTTTATTCCATTATCCAAATAATTTGATATCCATTTTCCATTTTTATTTTTATTTTCAAAATCCATTCATAACCAATGTCACATTTTTGTTTACAAAGTCCATCATCATACAAAAAGGTCCATATACAAATCCAATCCCATGTATATATATTATAATAAAAAATTACAAAAAAAACTACATACACCAAATTGCCACTCTACAAAACCTCATCAACAGAACAACTACAACCTAATTTCCCATTCACAACATGACAAACTTGCTGTAACAAAACATGTTCACAAGAGTCCAAACAACAAGCCTACAACACGAATGTACCTCCTTCACAATGTTATAACACATTAGCCACTACCTTCCATGTTGTATACTACCTCTAAACACAAGTTGCCAAAAAAACCATACAACTTGCCTTTTCAACACTACTATACAACAAGCCAAAACAACCTGTTACTCCCTGCTGCGAAATCACCTTGATACAACCATCAACAAGCAACTGCACTACAAAACAAAACTGCCCTGCTACAACCTAAACCTCAAACCAGACATGTACCAATACATACAGAACCTACAACAACTACACAATGAAACCTTGGAATTTTTTACCCACATGCCCAAGTTTCTCCATATTAATTTTCAATTTACCTAACATTTCAATTTATTTTCGAATCTACCCATATTTCAAAAAAAAATTGCTTATAAGGGGGGGGCGCCATTGGATTTGGAGTCGCCCTTATAATTATAAGGGGGCGCCATCCCCTATGGAGTCACCCTTAAAAATTACAAGGGGGCGCCATATCCTATGGATTCACCTTTAAATGATTATTTTTAAATAATATTTAATAAATAATATGTTAAATAATAATTATTAAATAATATATAATAATTAAATAATATTTAATAAATAATATATTAAAAATAATAATTAAATAATAATTAACAATTAAATTATATTTAATAAATAATATATTAAATAATAATTATCAATTTCATTTAATAACAAATGAGTACATAGGGGAAATATGGTACACTAATTTCTACGACTAGGTTGAGGTAAATGTCCGCCTGTACCGCATCCTCTAGTATGTACGTTTCTTGGTGGTCTTTGTGGTGACGTCGGGTCCAATGGGTCATCTTCAAGAAATTGGATCATTTGGGCCCATAAAGATGAGTCGATATCCGCAAAGTCATATAAATTCATGGGGTTGCCCATGCCTGCATAATTTTGTTGGGGTGGTTGGCTCGATGAGGCAATGTCAGGACGATAGCCTGCCTGGTCGTAAGGTGACATTGGTGTAAATGTTTGGGTGGGTAAGGGTTGATTGGGTGTTTGATACTCCGTGTTAAATTGGTTTGTAGTATCATAGGAGTGTGTTTGGTATGGTGGTGGTTATTGTTGGTATTGAGACTGAGAATAACTTTGTGTGAATGGGGTGGATTGGTAAGAGGTATGTTCATGGAGTTGTGGTTGTGTGAGTGGGGGTTGGGTTGGCTGTTGGAAATGGGGTTGGATCGGATGTTGGGTTCTTGATGATGAAGCTTGTTGGCATGGGTCAACAAGATATCTAGGATGAGAAATGAAACCAATGAATACCGACCTATACCAATTCATGTATTGGATAGAAGGTTTTCTCTCGTATGGCAACACTGCATTGGACAAAATAAAATGGCGGCGATGCTTCTATTCCCGACACTCATGTTTTGCAAAGTTGATCCATGGAGAATAGTCTCATTGGTCGAAGACTTTACTTGCGTGATAGTTCTCGGGGATGTATTTTGGTGGACATGGAATATCTTGTAGCATTCCAAACTGAAGCTTGACACGATCACTGTTGTGCATTTCCACGGTGGTAAAGTTGATAATCGGCACCTTTGCACTCCACACTGCAGAGTCGTGTTCGTTAACTTCATGAATGGCTTCTAGACCAAGATATGGCCGCCAAATAAACTGTAGGAGAAAAAATAATATTTAGGATTTTGAAATAATATTTAATATGACTTTACTCCAAATAGGTAGGTTAGTGACGGTACATCATCTTGACCAAAATGATCCAGAAGATTTCGATACTGGGTGATACTGTAATGGGGATAATTGTCATAATTCATCCCAAGTGAAGACCACCTACAAATCAAAAAGGAAACATTTGTTAATAATAGGATAAATTAAGTAATAGAATATGAAATTTTCAAGGAATTGGTCTAAGAAATTACCTTGTAGCATATGGGAATCCGAAATTATTGTGTTGGATAGGTGCTAGATTGGTCATCCTTGACCAACCCCAAGCTTGAAGAAGAACACCATATCCGATAAAATTTCTCGAATTTGCTGTTGCATTATTACACAGAGACCGATATAGGTGTGATAGTGTGGCAGACCCCTAACTATATGTTTTTATTTTATCTATGTCATCTGATAAAACTAAATACATAGGATGGATAGCGTTACCACTTGCATCCAGACATAAAAATATACCTATTAGTAGAATAATATAAATTCTAGTTTTTCTGATTTTCAATATTTCTGGAGAGTCTACGGTTAACGTTATTTCTCTATAAAGTTTTTTGAGCCATGATAATAATAGTTTTTGGCCCCTCAAATCGCTTGGGGTTGGTTCGACCCCTAAAAGTTCTTCTATCATACTACCACGAGGATTGGTGAGACCGTTTACTGCTTTACCATTAATAGATAAACCTAATAACATGTAAGTGTCTTCGAGAGTAACAACACATTCACCTGTTAGAAGATCAAATGTATGCGTCTCGGGTCGCCACCTTTCTTGAAGCGCTAAAATGAACTTTGTATCCAGGATATAATTTTGTATTTTGATTATTTTTCCAAATCCTGTACGCTCCAAATATGGTTGAATTATCTCGTCATGTGGTAAATGTTTATGCCCACAAGTTCGGAAGTCATGAGTATTCTAACAAAAAAGAAATAGTGAGCTACAAATCATTACAACACTGTGATTATAACAAAAATAGTGAGCTACAAATGCTTACATAAGAAGCGATGTTGTTTGGTGTTCCTCTATGCTTCTCGCCCAATGTTAACAGAGACATTTTTCTACAGACTATATAGTGTGATTATAAGAACAAAATATTGGAGATGTTGAAATGTTGGATAGAATTGATGATTTTGACAATGAAGTCTCCTATGTATTTATAGTAAAAAATTTAAATTTGTGGTAGATAGAAAAATTAAATTGTTGTAGATGATATATTGATTGCCATGTAGAAAAATAAATGAGTTAGATGAAGGTTGTAGGAAATCCTTCACACTTGGAAGATTGCATGGATGCAACATTAAAGTTCTGTGCACATTACTAGGGAGGCTCCATAGTCAATGGCGACATAGTGTTAATGCGTAACGAGGGACTCCATGCCCTATGGCGCCACCCTTGAAATTTAATGAAGGGACTCCATACCCTATGGGGCCACCCTTGAAATTTAATGAAGGGACTCCATACCCTATGGCGCCTCCCTTGTAAGATTTAATAATATTTAATTCTAATACGTTTATTATATATATCAGTATACATTGAAGACGATAAATATCATCCAAACTAAATTTCTATACATGCAAATATGTCTAGAACAACAAATTATATTATTCATGATCATTTTAATGGATACACATACTTCTCTGAAAGTTCTGGTTTTGGGTTTCAAAATACTGGTGTTACCCGATTAACAATGAGCAGAAAATCAAAATTTTTGCATTTCAAAGAGCGAATAGAGTCAAAGATTTTGTCTGGTCCAATCTCTCAAATCATATATAGAAGTCTCGTTTTCTTTGAAAACAGTCAAGTCAAGTATTTTCAACAAAATATACAGGACAATAACGATGTTCAACAAATGTTTGATAGTCATGAACACTCTGGGTTCGACTATATCGAGCGTTATCTATTACTCTGTCAGACTCAACAATCCCAAATGTTTGGTGAATCTCAGGTAATAGATCAGTCACAGTCATTGGAACAAGATGAAGTTGATGCAGTTGACAAGGAAGAAGAAGAACCTGAGGCCATGGTTGATCAAATGGTGAATTTGTTTGGGACTAGGGACTACACTGTAATAACTCCACTTGAAGGCATAGATGAAGAGGCATTACCATTAAGTCATATGTATTGTCCTCCCTAACACATGACTAACTTGCAATTGAGTGGAGACGAGCCTTCCTCAGATTTGTTCTACAATCCTTCTCAACAAATCGAAGGTGTATTGAAACTAGGGAACCAGTACCGCACAAAAGCAGAGTGCATGAAAGCTATAATAAAGTTTCACATGGATAACGTTGTTGATTTTGAAGTAAACCGAAATGACTCAAAATGCTATGTCGTAGTTTTTCGTAACGAACTTTGCAAGTTTTGGTTAGCAGCGTCCTATCGGAAGATAAGTGATTATTGGGGATAGGTTCGATCGATCCACCTCATAGTTGCACAACCAACATCAATCGACAAGATCATGGTAAACTAAGCTCCCAATTAATATGCCAAGAGATTTTGCATCTTGTGGGCGTAGATCCATCTGTGAAGGTGAGCACAATTATCTCTCGTGTTGTTGCACGGTTCAACTATACCCCATCGTATAGGAAAGCTTGGATTGCAAGAATAAAAGCGATTGAACATGTATACGGGAATTGGGAAAAATCTTACAATCAACTTCCACTGTATTTGCTAGCACTTCAAAAATATGTTCCTGGTACGGTTGTAATATTGGAATCACTTCCAGCATACACTCATGAAGGAACATGTGTTGATGGAAGTAGGATATTCTCTCATATCTTTTGGGAATTTCAACCGTGTATCAAAGGTTTTGCATTCTGCAAACCGGTTATTCAAGTCGATGGAACATGGTTGTATGGAAAATATAAAGGAATATTGCTGATGGCGGTTGCACAAGACGGAAATAATAATATATTTCCGGTTGCCTTTGCTTGGTCGAGGGTGAGACAGGTGAAGCTTGGAGTTTCTTTCTCAAAAATCTCAGAACACACGTTGCTCCTCAACCCAACTTATGTCTGATTTCCGACAGACATGCCTCTATTGTGAGCGCTTACAACAATCCTGCTAATGGTTGGCACAATCCTCCTTCTGTCCATACATACTGCATAAGACACATTGCTCAGAATTTCATGCGGGAAATCGAAGACAGAAATCTCCGTAAAAAAGTTGTGAACGCTGGGTATGCCTTAAACCAACCACCGTTCATGTATTACCGCGAAGAAATAAGATTGTCAAATGCGGAAGCATTAAGCTGAGTGGATATCATTCCAGTCGAGAAATGGACAAGGGCTTTTGATGGAGGATGTCGATGGGGTCACATGACCACAAACCTTGTGGAATCCCTAAACGGTGTATTTAAGGGAACTAGAAACATCCCTATCACTGCATTGGTAAGAGCGACCTATTATAGATTGGGGTCACTTTTTGCGGCAAGAGGCAAAAAATGGAGCGCTGTTTTAGAATCAAGGCAAATATTCAGCGAATCAGGTATAAAATATATGAAGGATGAAACTGCTAAGGCGGCCTCACATCGAGTTAGAGCATTTGATCGTCACGATTACAACTTCATTGTTGACGAGACAAAGAAACACAATGAGGGTCGGCCAATGGGACACTACAGGGTGGAAATTCATAAAAATTGGTGCGACTGTGGAAAGTTTCAAACCTTCCACATGCCTTGTTCACATGTCATTGTCGCATGTTCCAGTGTTCGTCAGGATCCATTCTTGCAACTATCAGAAGTTTACAAGATCATGAACTTATTTTGTATCTACAATAATAGTTTTCCAGTTGTAGCTAGTGAGGACTATTGGCCAACCTATCATGGAGACACAATTTACCACGACGAAAATACGAGAAAAAACAAAAAAGGTCGCCCCAAAAGCACGCGAATTAGAACTGAAATGGATACAACTGAGAAAATGGAAAGATTGTGCGGAATATGTCGTCTTCCCGGGCATACGAGGAAACATTGTCCAAATGTTGGAACAACTTTTAGATAGATTTACTTTGGTCATTAAAAAATGTGTAACCTTGGAATTTAATATTTATAGCAACTTTTGTTTACTATAAAACAAATTGAAATACTTCTAAAGCAACAATGCAAATCATTAAAAATATAAGGATTATTACAACATAAACTATGATATAACAACAATCAAAGTAATATCATCAGTTCCAAACATCATAGACCTAACTTCATTGTCATCTTTAATTCACACCCACTCACGCCATATATTTCTATCTGCAATCGAGAAGTACGAAACAAGTCTTTTAATACTTCTAATTCTTTCACCATCTGAAATGTCTCCTTCTAACCAGCGATTCAAATTTCTTCGTATTTTCTCTAAACTTTAGATGTTCCAAAACAACATCCTTATTAGAGGCTTGGTTCTTAAGAAAATGACACGCCCATATCTTCTAAGATACATGATTTACTCTACTAAATTTGTAAAAAACAATGGTAATTTAAGAGTGAAAGAATATACAAGCCTCATCTATTTATACAAGAAATTTTTTAAATAAAATAATAATAAATATTATAAACATATACAATATATGATTTATTAATAATTAAATAAATTATAATGAAATATAGGGGCTCCAAAGGGGATGGCACCTCCTCCTAATCATTTAAAGGTGACTCCATCGAAGATGGCGCCCCCTTGTAAGTTTTAAGGGTGACTTCATAGGGGATGGCGCCCCCTTATAATTATAAGGGTGACTCCAAAGCCAACGGCACCCCGCTTATAAGCAATTTTTTTTAGAAACATGGGTAGATTGGAAAATAAATTGAAATATTGGGTAAATTGAAAAATAATATGGTGGAACTTGAGCATGTGGGTAAAAAATTCAAAACCTTGACCATTATACCACAACCAAACAAAATCCTGCAAAGACAAGGACATCACAATATCAAACAAAGTCATTGTACTACAAACTTAGTTGAGAAGTTTTCAACTGAATTTAAAAAGAGGAGGAAAAAAGAACAAAGGGAGAGGAGAAGAAAAAAGGGAAGGATAGTAGAGTAAACGATTGAAAAAAAAATTGAAAAAAAAGAGAGAAGTTAAAAGAAGGAGAAACAGAAATTAAAAAGAGAGAAAAAGCAAAAACTGAAGGACTTCAATCCTCTTCGACCCAACTTCATAGCTTGCTGAACCTCATCCTTAATACCCACCGTCAGCCCCATTTTTCGGTCACAAACCCATGATCAACAAATCATGCACCCTCATTGTCTCCATCCTCCATTCCACCTATATTTTTCCTTCAAAAAACCAGGAATAAAACAAGCCTCATACAATTTTCAATTTGTTTCTAACAATAACCTTTATCTCCAACAATAACGCAACTCTGACAAGCTTCGAATTGCATTCAACCTCCGTCTCCCTCAACAACTTAAAACCTTCAAGCAATCACCACAAACCACCACCATCTTTACAAATTGCCTTCGACTGACCATTTCAGCATCAACAACAGCAGAACTGTTACAACCCATCCATCCTCTTCCCCCTTACCGCTATCTTCATTAGTAACAACACCATCATCTTATTTTTTACTCGGCTTGCACCATAAACAACAACAACAACCCAACTTTCTAAGAGGAACAGAGGGAGAACAGATCGTCACGAGGAAAGAAGATGATAAAGATGAACGCTACCGAGAAAGCAAACGGGAGTCTCGACTGAGAAAGTTGCACACGGAAGAAGTCTCGATAGAGGGATTCACGTTGGAAAGAGAAAAACAAGGAGAGGTAAGCGAGTTTGAGATCATGTTTAGAAAACTTATTGAGAATCTGTTTCAAGTGCAACTCTTCTTGTTTATGATTTAGGTTTTTTAATTAGGACCTCAAACAGGTTATTTTTTACCCACTACAAACCATCAGCAAGGATACAAACTGCCTCATGGGCCTTCATCTTCTGGCCCGTGATTTTTTTTATTCACACCCTTTTCATTTTTTAAAATTATTTTGTTAAAAAAATATAATAATAACCTTGATATTTCTTTGTTATTTCATTTCAACAATTTTGTTAATCTTTTCTTTTAAAAAATTTGTTAACCAATTTTTGTTACTTATTTTTGTTAACTATTTTATTAAAAAATTTGACATTTTTTATTTTGTTAAATATGTTTGCTATTTTTATTAATTATTTTGATACTATTTTGATTATTTATTTTTAATAATCTTATTATTTTTGATATAATTCTTGCTAGCGTTTTGTAAATATTTTCGTTAATTAGTTTTTTTGGAACATTTTTAATTATGTAATCTTTTAATGTTTTGATTAGAATTATTAATTCTTATTTAGATTAATTATTTCACTTGTTTTTTATTAAATATAAAATATTTTCTTAATCAGCTTTTGTAAATTAATCCTTGTTTTATTCATGTTAGAATATAATTATTTAGGATTTATTTTGATAATTTTATATTTTATTTGCTCTTAATTAATTTCTTTATCGATTTAATTTCTAACTTAGTGACTTGTTGGTTATATCATTTTGTTTAGGCTATATTGATTTGATCTTATGATTTCAATTCTTATCTTGATCTTGCCATTGCTCATTATCTTATGTTCACCATTCGTTCATGGTTGTTATGTTGTATGCTTAAAACTTCATCCCTTGCCCGTTGTTGTTGCTTACTCCCTAATTCCAATGGAAAGGATCATTCCCCCTGTTGACTATCATGTCATGTTTAGAATAGCTTTGTCAACTATTCCCTTTAGAACTTTTTAGAGTCTTACCCGTTTATCCTAGCCTTAAGATTAGAGGTGATGTACTCTACGTAAGTGTCCTGCCATGAACACTTACCTCCCCTTTTAACCTAGCCTTAGGTTTAGAGTCGCCGCACTCAATGTAGGTGTCTAGCCATGGAAACTTCCTCCCTTTTAACCTAGCCTTAGGTTTAGAGTCTCTGCACTCTATGTAAGTGTCTTGTCATCTCCCCCTTTAGAATCTTGACCACAGTCGAGAGTTCCTCACCTATAATTAAGTGAACTACGGGCGCTCTGATTCCTCATTCCCTAATGAGGATATGTAGGCACGAGGATCCCTATCCTTGGTGAGCTTACTAACTACTAACTTCCCTTTTCTCTCGCCCCTGTGCAATCGAGACTAACTATCGGTAGTTAGTTA